GCCCTGACCCCTGGCGGCGGGCGGGGGAGGCCGGCGCTCCCTGCCTGGTACCGAGGGGTGTGGTGTCCTCTGGATTCTCTTAAAAAGCTGGCGGTGCGCAGGAGTTTGCTGTGCGCATAGCCAGCGCTGGGGGAAAGCGGTTCGCTGGATTTCGAGCTCGAAGTTGGTCCGCTCTTCCGTCGCCAGGCTGATCTCTGACGCTTGTTTTGCTTTTGATTTTTTTTTCTTTCCGTCGTGGTTGTCACCCTCCCTCCAACCCCCCCACCCCACCCCGACTCTTGGCCGTGTGTCCTCCGCAGGGCCATCTCTACACGGTTCCGGTGCGGGAACAGGGCAACATCTACAAGCCCAATAATAAGGCCATGGCAGACGAGGTGAATGAGAAACAAGTGTACGACGCACACACCAAGGAGATTGATCTGGTCAACCGCGACCCCAAGCATCTCAACGACGATGTGGTCAAGGTACGCAGAGCTGCTGCGGGCGAGGGGCGGGCGTGTCGGGGCGGGGGAGGGTCCCAAAGCTCTTCTCTGGCACGTAGTTGTGCATCGCCGACACACACACACACACACACACACACACACACCCCATTTTGTGAGACGGTTGTGTGGGAGCTCCTGAGGTCGTCAGAAATGTCACATCTCCCTTCCCCCCTCCGGCTGGGTAGTTCAGCTGGAATTTAGCTCAAAAGAGTTTCCTAGGAGTTGATGCAACTTTGCTAGCCAAGGAACCTCTTGACCCTCAGCCACAGATGAGCCCTCGTTTCCTGGGAAGGGGAGATGGCTGTGGTCCGTTCCCAGGTTGAAAGTCCCTGGACGGATTCTTCTATGCACATGGGAATAAAGCGTTAAAATAAAGTTGTCAGGCTTTGTGCCAAGGGTGAGAGGCAGCACGCTCAGCGGGCATGCTTTCCCGGCTAAAATCCTACGTGGTTCTCTTAAAAAAAAAAAAAAGAATAAAATGAGTGGAAATGTCTAAGACTGGTGGTTATGTATGGTGCATGCATGTCACATACATAATGCACATAACAATACAATATGCATTTTACACGATTGCAATACATGTATTATATACAATATGCATGTATAATATGTATATAATACACATTGTACACATATGCGAATGAAAGATGTCTTCACTAGGAAAAACCTGGTATTTTGTGGAGCTGAGCAAGTTGACAAAACTAAAACCATAGTGTACCTCTTGAGTTCTTCTCTAGAAAACTCTGGTTAGATGTGGAGAACGAACGTGTCTGTAGTGGCTCATTAGGTCAGCCTCCTCTGAGCTAGGGGGACATTCAAGTTAGAACAGTTTTGTTATACTTTTGGGATATGTTTAATAGATTAATTGCCTGGGTTATTGGCCAAAGTTAAATCTGACACAGTAGTCCTATTTTTATTATCATTATGTTATTCAACTTTGACCCTTTAGCAAAACTAGTTGGAGAAATTTATTGCCTGAACCCATCCTACATTGGGTAATCATGGACTTGAGTCATCGTTGGCAGATGTTCTTGGAGGAACCTTGAGGACTAAGGAAAACCCTGGCCTTTAGGGTGACAGTGTAAAGATGTGGTTCTGTACAAACCCAGAGCAGCCAATAAGATGGATGAGACCTTTCCACCCACCCGCTTTCTATCTATGGATAGGAGGTGCGTTCAGTGACTGTTCACATTTATGAATAATATATTTCAAAAGGAAGAGCAGTGTAAGCTGAAACTAGAAGGAAAGTGTGGCTGTCAGAATGGACTCTCTTGGCTTGCTAGTGGTGGAAAAAGAAAAATTGGAACATTTGTGGGTTTTTCTACTAGCCAGATTATGGGATATTTACAAGCAGTAGCAATAAGAAAGGTACCTTATAAACCGGACTTTAGAATTGCTTTTAAAAAAAAACCTATTCATGAAAAACATTACCTTGAAGAGGGAAAAGGGGCATTTTATTTTTATTTTTATTTTTGCTTCTTTCCCATCTTGTGTAGCTTTGGACTGAAAGGAAAGTTGCCAGGAAAAGAGGCAGATTTTAGACTGGGCTCCCTTCACTGGAGCCTCCCTGTTGTTCCATTGCAGTGGGAGCGGGATTCCCTGGAGCAAATGAACCTCCCGGGATGAGTCAGAAAGGCCAACCATGTGGATGTGGGGCTCTACACATAGCATGACTAAGTAGAGAAAGAAAGGCCCTTGAGAGAAAAGAGTCTCCAACACAGATGGGGGAAAAAGCATGACCATCTTAGAGGAAAAATAGCAGTTTACAAAAGAGCATTTCAAAGGCCACGTGTGGCAGATCCTCCAATTAAAGAAAATAAAAGGAAAAAAAAAAGGCTAGAGAAAGCGACTGCTGTCCTTAAGGAAATCAAACTCTTCCCATTTGATCTTAGAACTGTAAGCAAAATAAACAAGTTAAAGGAGAAAAGCCACCTTGAGAAGAATTTGGCAGGACCACTTGATAGATCTCCTACCCCTCCCACCCTTCCCACCCCCCACCCCAGGACTTTGGAGAATGCTCTGCTGGGAGAGAATCTGACTGCAAATGCAAATTCTGTTCTAACTGTGCTGACTCACCTCTACTTCTAGCTCATAGAAACTTCCCTTTGGTAAAGTTTTATCTTTGAGTTCCAGTATAAACCTAATGACAGAAACAGGAATGATCCTCTCCCTGTTGCCATGACAATAAATAATAAATTTCTCTGAATTTCATTTTGAATAGTGTAGAGCTCTTAAAATAATAAGTGCAAGCAAAGCTTTGATGAGAATGCATGACAGCTTATAACCTCATCCAATGAAGACAACAGTGGAGTCTGTTACTAAAGGTACAAACCAAGAGAAAGAAGCTCTGCTTTAGAAACAGGCACTCAGGTAAAAGCTGTTTGGCACAATACTGTATTCATGACCCACTTGTGGCTAATATTTCAATTTAAATTTTCTTCAAGTAATATTTAATAAAACTCAAAATTCAGTTTCTCAGTCATACTAGCCACACTTCGAATGCTCTGCATATGAGGACAAGGAAACCAATAGAATATTTCTGTTTCAGTAGGATGGCCCAGATGTAGAAATGTAGAAACTACTATCATCATGAAATCTGGGTTGGACAGTAACTAACTAGAGTGTTCTTGATTTTAAAAACCATCTCTTTCATCAGACACCAGTGTTTCATGCCTGTATATCCAGGAAGCTGAGATCTGAGGATTATGGTTTAAAGCCTGCCTGGACAGTAAAGTCCATGAGACTCTTATCTCCAACCAACCTCCAAAAAGCTGAAAATGGAGCTGTGGTTCTAGTGGCAGAGCACTAAAGCTCAGAGACAGCACTCAGGCCTTGAGTTCAAGGCCCAGAAATGGCGCGCACACACACACACACACACACACACACACACACACACACACACACTTCTATACAAGTTAAAAACAACAACTCTACAGTAGAAATGAACTCCTGATATAAAATGTGAAGAAATACATAGTATGTGTACATATTCTTTCAGTCCCACAAAAGAGCTAATTATAGAGGGGCATCTATATTTATGTTTATTTATATTTTACAAGTTTATATTTGAAGAAGGAAGATTATCAACTAGTCCACTACTGACAGGTACAAATTAAAATGTATAGTTTATTTCCAGTGAAATTTCTGATAAAAGTTTGCTGTTCTGCATTATTATAAATCTAAGACATTTTACGTAAAGATATTGCAACTACAAAAGTTTTCTCTGTTTCCTCTAATTTTTTCATGCTCTAATCTTTCATTACCTCTACTATCTCTGGTGTGGGTGGGGAGGAATGCTCTTACACTGTCACTAAAACTTGAATTCAGGGCCTTGAACTTTTGTTTAACTTTTTCCACTCAAAGCTATTGCTTTACTCCTTGAGCCACATCTCCACTTCTTTTTTGTTGGTTTGTTGGAGATAAGAATTTCTGAGATTTGTCTGTTCAGGCTGGCTTTGAACCTCTTTCCGTCCTCAAATCACAACCTCTCTCTGGCTAGGATAACAGGCATGAGCCATTAGTGCTGGACTTCTCTATGATAGTTCTAAGTTTTCTTTAGTTCACATTTATATTCAGATGTTGATCATTTACATATTTAGATTTCTAGATAGAGAAAATGGCTTCAGATGTTCAATTTTGATATATCATTCATTACTGATCATTTTATTAAGATATTGTAAAATGCTAACCTAATCAATTTGCTGTGTTTTTTTAAATAAACCCTAGGTATTCCAAATATCACAGTTAGTGAGAGTAGGTTCATACAGATTTTTTTAAATCATAAAATACACACAACCACATGGTTAAATTACTACCAAATGACTAATGGGTTCTTTATTTTGCTTTGACTGCGGGAAAACATGTAGCTAGATTCTAAATGTTATCAACCCATGTTACTTTCTCTCTCACACATATTGTTTTGTACTTTCCCTTCCTTACTTAAATTGGTATGCTCTTTTATGAGATCTCTATTGAAGAGACTTATGGTCATTTTGGAAATAGATCAAATACATACTATAGTAAATCAAAAGCAAATAATATTGAACATTGTATGGTAAAAATAATGTAAGTAGTGATAATAATGTAAGTAGCAACAGATATATAGAAGAAAGATGTATCAAAGATACTCAGAGAAGAGCATGAAGGGTGAATAATTTAAGATAGGTTGTGGGTGGAATGCAAGTAGTTGAGCAAAGCACAAGAGAACATTCTAATAAAAGAGGAATAAAGATGATAAAGTTTCACACAGGGAAATTTTAGCAAACCACTTTGATTGGAATTTCAGAATTCAAGTGATCCTGGCAAATGGCAGAGTTGTTAATCCAGTGGTCATGATGAGTTTGGATTTTATCATGACCACAGTAGGAAACTATGGAAGACACTTGAAGTAAGGAACATTGGTTGTGTTGTTTTATGAGAGGGGTTGGGAAGGGAGGTGACTCTGGTAAAAATACAGGATATGATGATAAAAGGTAGCAGTCTGAATGAGCAGACTGCTAGTGGTCTCCAGTTTATAATAGTTCAACATTAAAAATTCTGAAGATATCATTCTTTGCATTTTGTCCTTTTCCTGGGATAGCAATATGTAGTGCAATGTTCTCTTGAGATGCTGAACAGTGGTAGCAAGACTTAGCTGCCAGTTAGCCACACAATTACAGAAAAATAGAAAATGATGTACAATGTAAGTGTGACTAACCTGTGGTATTCAATGACTGAGATGCATTAAATACATTTTTTTATGTCCAAGTTTTCAACTTATTCGGGTTTATCAGGATATAATCCCAGGGTAATTTGAGGAACATCTGTTTATTTCACTGTGTTCCAGATGTGAAATGAAGAGGATGTGCTTTGGGAATAGAACCATACACGAAATGCCAAAATTGTAGACAACAAAATGGTTACCAGCTTGGCTTCAATTCGTCTTTTATGACATTAAAAGAAATTAAGGACTAAAAAAATTTAACATGTTATCTGTATTTTTT